AATCAAAATAGATTGTTGATTTTTATATATTGTACCATGTGACAATTAGCATCACATGGTTTCGTCAGGCATCACTATCTCCCACGGTTGCAACACCGCAACAAAGTTGGACCGGCAGATTCTCGATTTTGATTGGCTAAGAGCGACGATCTAATTTTACTAATGAGATAATAGCCGCCCATCAAGTTCCTGGGCCAATTTTAACATTATGCGGGCTTATTTTTTAAGAATTTCTATTTTTGTAAGTAAAAAATTAAAAGTTAACTCCGGCCAGAAATTAGTAAACAATTTTGTAATGTGGGCCAAAATTTTGAAGATCCTCGGCCGTTAGCCTTCATGATTGATAAGTAAAACATATTAATCATGGTAATCTGCATGGTGACTGCATGGTGATCGGCAAAATGTGCATTTTGCCCATCTCTAGTTATTAGGTTACATGACTATATGATCTGTGACTTTGTCACTTGGTCATTTCCGTTCATATGATTACAGCACCTCCTGCAAAGATTTCGGAGTTATGCTAACCACGTGTTCATATGATTTCGACCAAAATTGCAATGTAATTTGGTCAAACGCGTGGCTGGTATAACTCGAAATGGGATTCTGAAAATTTGTCGGTGTTAACCCAATTTATTGCTATTATAGTACTAGTCATATTATCTATATGCATCTGGAAATCGATTTTTAGTTTGTGACCTATTTTTACATTGGCCATATAATCATATGACTTTTGGTCGCATGAAATGCTATTAAAATTTTTTTTATTATGTCTCTTACTATATTTTAGGCCATCAACAAACACTAGTTAGCAATACCTTCGTTAATATGAATCTAATAATAATAATAGTAACATAGCTGCGCAGGACCGGCACGATCAATCATGTTGCGACCATTAGATTTCAAAGTATTTTGCTCAAATAGTGGATCAATATTGGTCATATATTTCTGTTATTACTGTCTGGAATCAATCCCTAACACCCAACGACCCGAAACATTATAATTATCACAAATTACTTTGATATCTAATATGTTAAGGTTTTTTTGTATTTGAATTATTGCAACTTTTATGTAATTAATTATTCTAATTTATTTTGAGTTACAGTAGGAATCATAAGTATCCCACCCCTCTAACTTTTTATATAAAAAAGCTATAGCTATAAAATTTTTACCATAAATTGTATCAAATAAATATAGATCAGTGGCAAATTTTTATATTTTTTTAATCACTACAACAAAAGTTAGATGAGAGCTAAAATTTAGGCATTTTAGGTACTAAAAACCAATTCAATTTAATCAAAAATTTATAAAAAATTAGAATTAAATCTAAAAGCTTTAAGGATTATCAGGACTAAACTTCAAGCATTTTTATAGTGATGACAAAAAATTTGATTTAATTTAATAAGATAGTTACTGAGAAATTAATTTTTAAAGTAATTTTACTATTTTGGGAAGGCATATGTGTTGTGTAACTAGGTGGTTACTTAATAAAAACATAGTAATTTTAAAATTTTTACTAAAATTTTAAAATAACTTTAAATTCTAATTTCTTAATAACTATCTCATAAAATTTACTTGAATTTTTTTTAGAATTATAAAAATGCTTGAATTTTATTTTTATTTTTTTTATTTTTTTATATTTTTATTAATTTTTAATTAAATTCAATTAATTTTTAATTTTAGTAACAAAATTTATTAAACTTTTAGCTCTTATCTAACTTTTGTTGTAGTAACTAAAAAAGTATAAAAATTTGACACTAATTTATATTTATCACTATTTTAAAGTAAGAATTTTAAAGATGTAATTTTTTTAATCAAATTCAATGAAAAAAATTTTATTTGAATTCTGTGAATCCATAGAATTCAAACAAAAAAGTTTTATCGAATTCAATCAAGTGGTTGCCAAAATATTCTGATTTAAAGTCAGAGAAATTTTTATTTTTGCTGGGGGTGTATAGTATGTAAATCATTTTTTTATCCCATCAGGATCAGTACCAACAATCTATCGGGAATAGTAATTTCGCATTAAAATAATCTTATTAGTAAAATTTTAAATCTTATATAAATCACCCAAATTAAAATAAATATATAACTCTAAAAAAAATTAATCCGATTTATCAATATGTTAATATATAATTAACACCATTTTCTTAGCCAATTCTAATCCAACAGCAGCATAATATTCTTTTAATAGATATTTTTTACCAAAGTGGTTAAAATATGACACATTCTAAATAGAAAATAAGCAAAATAATTAGTATGCAAAAAGAAAAAACTTATTAAACAAATACTTACATTAAAATGCTTCACAGCTCCATCGATATACACCATCATATCTTTAATATCATTATCAGTAACTTTATTTGGATCAAGCATGCCTGGCAATGGCAGATCAATGTTTTCTGCACATTGTCTAGAGGTTTCATGGTTTGCATATTGGGCATCAGATAGTGGATTTGCAAAGGATACATATTTATATTGATTCAAAAGGCGAGTGCAGTGTTCAATTGAATACCATTCGTAAGTCTCCTATAAATATGAGCACAAATAAATATTACAATATACGGCATAGTTGACATTAACAAAAAATTACAAACAGGGTCTAAAAGGTCGGATGGTTTGTATTGTCCCTTATAACTCATCTTTTGACAATTGTGAATGTAATATCCTAAAAATTAAATGAATAGATAACATTACATAATAAATTGGGGTTAAATAAAAAGAAGAAAAGAGCCTAATATAAACCAGATAAATAAAAAAGAAAAAGAAAAAATATACATGTCACATATAAGCACCTACCCATGTAATACCAATGTAAATCTTTTAATCCAGCAGTATGCAATTCAAGAGTCATTGTTATTTCTCTTAAAGCGCTGTATTTCCCAAGCTGCAGATAACCATAATCCGGGTCATAAAAAAAGTAAACCGATGACGTACATTTTGGTAGTACATCAAGAACAGCAACAGCAATAAGTTTGTCATCCAAGTAATAGCATTGATGAAAAGAGCCGTATCCTGATGCAATTGGAATTACTTGAGGTTCATGCTTCAAGTAAAAAATAATTAATTCGTGATCCGCCTAAGAAACAGTAAATTTTGGAGATATGTTTACTATGTACATTTTGCTTTTTTTGGAATCTGGCGTTTCCCAAAGAAACCATTTTTCTTTACTAAGTAAACCTCTCTTCGGCTTCTATGTAAACTTGTAGAGGAGTGTCTTGCGATCAAATGGTGGTTTGAATTTTAAAATTGGCCCAGTGGATCGCGAGATATAAGTACTTTAGTCTTCGCGACTATATATTTTCTTTATGTAAATAAAGAAGAGAACATAAAGTCGCGAAGACTAAAGTACTTATATCTCACGACCACTGGACCGATTTAAGTGTTTAAACCACCATTTTGATCGCAAGGCACTCCTCTACATGTTTACTTAGAAGTCAAAGAGAGGTTTACTTAGTAAAGAAAAATGGTTTTCTTTGGGAAACGCAGATTCCAAAGACAATAAAAAATATATAGTAAATATCTCCACTATTTAATATGTTTTGTCACTGGTTCTTAGGCGGATCATGAATTAATATAAAACCTAATTTAGCAAATTGAATGCCAAAAATAATAAAAATAATATAAAAAAAAAATAAGTACTTTTAGTGGAGAATTCACAAGGAACCTTCGAAAACTTTCTTCAGACAGTTCAGTATCATTATGAATGATGGTTTGATATTTGTAATAGAGTTGATACTTTTCTTGAGTGAAAGAAGATAGTTCAGTCGTAACCTGTTTACATAAATATATTTTTTAAGAGTTAAAAATATTATTTAGGTGAAATTTACTTAAAAGATCTTACTATACAGCACTTTAAATTTATGTTTCAAATCTACTCGACCCTCAGCTTCATGGATTGCTTCAACTAGATCAAAAGTATTTTCAGTTCGCTTTCTAGATTTCAATTTATCTCTTCAAAGAAAATATAAGAAATATTTTTCAGAGATTAAATATAGAACTTTTAATTTGTTAATAAAATATACATTATTCATTTACTTGTTTGAATCGGTGTCATTTTCGTTGGAAGGAACATACGTTCCTTCTAGAAAACGATTAAATTTATTGATCAATTGCCGTTGTGATTTTGAGGCATGGAATTTTGTTGCATCCAACCTATTGAGAACGTGTTTATTAAAATTTGAAGCATCATCTAAAAATTACAGCTATATTATAACAAAGATTTGCCTTATCGTATACTGCGGGCAACAGCTATCACGTAAATTTGGCTTATAGACAAAAGTACCAGATCTGTATTAGAAATAAATTTGATATAAATATGAAAATTCTGATTATTTGAACTTTGGAGCCATCATACCGTCGCCAGCCGCGATCAATAAGATCTTGGTAATCCTTTAAAAAGCAATGAAAATAAGCAAAACGAGCCAATAAAAATAATTTCACAGATTTTAGCTTACTTGACAAGTCAACATAATGGCGCTTAAACCGAACTTATGCGAAGTATCTTCACTAGATTTACAGTAACCGCACTCTGAAGCATATGATCCATGACTCTTAACTAAAGAATATCCGATTGAAGTTGACATCGAAATATATTAAAATTATATAGTACGTAGGTACGGTCGAGGAGGCCTAAAACTTCAATCTTCAATCACTTTATATAGAATAAAGATTACGTAACTAACTCATTGAAGTTAAACTAAATTTGTCATTCTTAATTCATGCTATTTGCATATATATTGTTTTTTGCTTATTGTTTTTATGCAAAGAGATTCCCTTCGTCGATAATTTAGGAAATTTATTTTTGATGTACTACCAGTTTGTGTATCATCTCTTAAATTTGTACTACAAAATTAAAATGCCGTGGAATATAGCAGGTAGTACAGTCACATACATGTTACAGTACGTTGTTTTCCGACCAAGATTAGACATACCAAAAGCTACGCCAAACATACGAGAGGAATGGCTTGAAAAGCTATTTCCGAAGGGCATATTAATTATATAGAATATAATAAATTCACAGACCCTATTGTGATCGGCGTTGGAGGTTCTTAAATACGAGTGGAGAGATAGTGAATTAACGGTTGCTCTTAAATGTATTAAAGTTGATACAAGCATAGATGAAAAGATGATTAAAGATTTTGTTAGCGAGGTAATATTTATTATGTTAAAACTTTAATGGCATCCTATTTCATATAACAGCTTAAACCATTACGAAAAGTTTCTTACCATCCAAACGTTATTTCATTTTATGGAGTGACAAAAGGTAAACAAACAATTTATAATTTTAAGTTATCAAATAATAATATCCTAAACGTACAAATATATAGATAGCGACAGATATTATAATCCGGTTTTACAATACGCTGACGACGGAACATTACGAGAATACTTAATGGCAAATTTTGCAAAATTACAATGGACAGATAAACTACGTATTGCTAAGGAAATAAACTTGGACTTTTATTTTTACATGATAATAAAATCATTCATAGAGATCTGGTAAAACACTACTGCGATAATTACTGAATTTTATCTGTTATATTTATTAATTTACTAATATGTACTTTAATCATTATATTTTAACATTCGAAAAATATTTTATTCGTCAAAACCAACCAACAGATTTTAGACTATCAAAACAGATGAATAAAATGTCTACGACTTCAAACTCAATCGCTTATGGAATGCCAGCATATATCGATCCAAAATACAAACGTAATAAGAAATCTGATGTCTATAGTCTTGGTGTAATTCTTTGGGAGATTTCAAGTGGAAAAACTCCATTACAAAATTCAGAAGGGCACTCTGCTATCACATAACTCAAGGAGATAGAGAAAAACCTATAAAAAGTACATCATTTCCAAAAATATTGGGACAATGATTAATACTTTAAACCAACTTATTCTTAATGAAACTTTGAGTCAAAACGATCATATTGAAATATCATCTCAAAATAGTGAAATTTCTTCAAGTCATCAAGACAATATAATCGCATTCAAAATTCAGTTGAAATTATGTCATCATTTCCACTTCATTTATCTGATATAATAAATTCGAATACTTCAGTGCAAGAAAATGATATTTATTTTTAATAACTATTCTATTTCTTGTTAAGTATGCACAATATAATGTATACATAAAGTATTTACTAAAAAGAAAATTCTTAATGATTATAGAAACTACATAGTTGCCGAATAATAAAATTGTTATTGGGCTGACTATCGTCATAAGTTACCGGATAAATCCGTTATCAGTCATGCAGATGCCTTATAACTTAATTATTTGTCAAACGATTTAAAGTCAGCCTAAGAAGTTGAATTCCTTCGGAATTCAATTTCTTAGTCTGATTTTAAATCTTTGACACATAAACCAGTAATCAGGCAGTGCCTGCCTGATAACTATTAATTATTTAGATTTCTTACTTATCTGAAAGACTTCATATTCATTTACCAAAAAATAATTATTATCATCAATTTGTTTTTCATAAAAAGAACGAAAAACATAACACACATTACTTCGATTATTAACAGATTGTTTATCAAAATCAAGAAACATACGAAGATCGCCACCACCGAAGCATACACCACGATCAGAATTAAAATATAACGCATTTTGTTGAACTTGTACACGACTTAAAATAGAATTTTGAACGACTCCATTTTTAAATGAGAAAATAAAACTATCTTGACAATTAACATAATTTGAAACAGAACTATTCCATGCAATTGGATTATAACCACCAATGATTTTTTCAACATTATCATTAGGACCTTTCACATTTACAACGGTAACTGTATTTGCTTTCAAATTACATAAATTCCAAAATGCACTAGGAGTAAAACCATCTCTGCTTCCACGAAGAAGTAACTTAAATTCGTAAGGATTATCTGAAGTGTTATATAAATTGGTCTTTTTATCAATCCATGATGCAATTTCTGCAGCATGTTCTTCATTAATGACAGTTGAAAATGGTTCAGTTGATCTATTTGGTAAAATTGGCACAGAAATAATACGAGGTGGCAATATTGTTGACGAAATTTGATGATTAGGAGACATATGTTTACTTGCCAGATCTTTCCAAAGATTTTTTTCAAGAATTAACGAATACGGTAATAAATTCTTTGCAACGTCTTCACCAGAAATTTGAAAGTAACAGATAAGAGGTAAACAATTTTGTAAAGTAGTCTTCAAAGTCATAAAATTTTCATAGGTCCAATTTTCAATATCTGAAGGTAAAGTTGGGTTTTGTGCAATTCCCCATTCAATGACATGATTCCAAATTTTAATTTCTTCTATCTGCAAATCGTCACGTTTAATAAGTGAAATTAATGCGTGTTCTTTAAGAGAAGTGAAATCCTCAGAATCGAAAACGAGATTTGGGTATTTTGCTACAATATTATTACACCATTTCTGTAACTCTTTAAGTTTATTATTCTGGGTACAAATCTTATAAATATGCGCAAAATGAGAACGTAACCAGTGAGCATTTGTTTCAATTAAATGTGTCTCAAGATTTTCCACTAATTCTTCTAGAAGAAGCTCATTAGCAGCTTGGATGAGATTAAAAATAAACTGGCCATTAAGTTTTTCTAACGAAACAAAGCCACCATAGACATACCTATTTTATTAAATAACATTAAAAAATCTTGTATATAATTTTATATAAAAAACAAAAGAAAAAAGTGTCATTTACTTAATAATAATTTCAAATTGCGAGATAGGAACTTGTGGTATTAAACTAATTCTCGTAATATTGTTCGTATCTTTAACAGCTTTTACTAATTCATTGCGAAAATATAATGACCTATATTTTAAAATAGCTGAATGTGCCTTGAATTCCTTTACGTTTGAATCATCTCCCACTTTAATGACTACATTAAAATCTTCTCCGTTCTCTAAAAGATCAATATAATTATTCGAAAGTTTTTCAAAGTGTTTGATCGCCATTTTTAGCCTCTAAACCGATGTGACTGATCGACCCTGTAATGCAAGATATCATAATAAATTTTTTCAACGTACCTTATACGTACTTGGTAAAATTAAAATGCCGTGGAATGTAGTAGGTAGTACATGTAGTTCGTACGCATGTACGGTACACACTATAAGTACACGGTACCTGATATAGTAATTACAGTAAGTTGTTTTTCGACCAAGATTAGACATACCAAAAGTTATGGCAAACATACAAGAAGAATGGCTTGAAAAAGCTATTTCCGAAGGGCACATTAATTATATAGAATATAATAAATTTACAGACCCTATTATGATCGGCGTTGGAGGTTTTGGAAAGGTTGTTAAATATGAGTGGAGAGACAGTGAATTAACGGTTGCTCTTAAATGTATTAAAGTTGATACAGGCATAGATGAAAAGATTATTGAAGATTTTGTTAACGAGGTAATATTTATTATGTTAAAACTTCCTACAAAGAATAATAAGTTCTTATATTAATATAATAGCTTAAACTATTACGAAGAGTTTCTTACCATCCAAACGTTATTTCATTCTATGGAGTGACAAAAGGTAAACTAACAATTCATAATTTAAAGGTATCAAATGATAATATCCTAAACGTATAAATATATAGATAGCAACAGATATTATAATCTGGTTTAACAATACTCTGACGACGGAACATTACGAGAATACTTAACGGCAAATTTTGCAAAATTACAATGGATAGATAAACTACGCATTGCTAAGGAAATAGCACTTGGACTTTTATTTTTACATGATAATAAAATTATTCATAGAGATCTGGTAAAATACTACTATGATAATTACTGATTTTTATCTGTTATATTTATTAATTTACAAATACGTACTTAAATCATTATATTAATAATTTAGCATTCGAAAAACATCTTAATTCATCAAAGACAACCAAAGATTACAGATTTTGGACTATCAAAGCA